ATTGGCTTTCTGCGGCAATTCGGAGGCAAAAGAAGGCATCTTTGAGATCTAAGACTGTAAAGTAAGTAGCCCCGCCCGGAATTAAAGCAAGCAGGTTATATGGATTGGGCACGACTGGATGTATACTAACAACCGCATCATTGACTGCTCTCAAGTCCTGCACAGGTCGATACTCATCTGTACCGGGCTTTTGAACAGGCAGCAATGGGGTGTTCCAGGGGGAAGTACAGAATTTTAGGATACCATACCGTATGAACTTATCCAGATAAGATTGGATGTTCTTCTTAGCCTTCTGCGGAATATGATATTGTCTCAGGCTTACTGGATAAACCCCAAGTTTTAGTTCGATTTTAATAGGTGGAATATTGCGGGCCAGTCCTGGTGGGTTGTTCTCTGCCCAAACTCCTGGTATGTTAAATAAGGATTCATCACTCCTCGGGTTTTGGCTAGTCAACACTGTATAAAGTCGCCACTCTTCTTCCTTTGGTACGGACAATGTCATAATACCTGAGGGTCCATTAAACTTTAAGGATGTTGTTCCATTTGGTAGGAACGTAATCTGCGCTTGTAATTTGGATAGCATATCACGTCCCAGCAATTGGACTGGACACTCAGGCATATAAAGGAATTGATGTTTTACTACGTGGCCTCCCAATGTACAGAGTCGACTTTTAAGAACCGGTTTTTCAGCACTTCTTCCAGTTGCTCCTATTACAGTAATAGTTCTTCCAGATGGAGGAGCAACTAGATTAGTCACCACCGAATGTTCAGCACCAGTGTCGATCATGAACGCACTCCTTTTTCCCCCTATTGATACATCGACCATAGGCTCCGCTCGACCAAGGGGGATGGAGCCCGGTCGGTATCAATAGTCCTCCATGACCGTGTCAGCCAATCCCACAAAGTCCCTACCTTCTCTATCGCGGGACCTTTGCGCTGCTGGATAGTACCTATCTTCCCTTACACTTCCTCTGTTCCCATTACTCCCTCTATTACCATTACTCCCTCCGGGGCCTCCTCTACCTCTCGCTCTGCCTCTAAAGTTTCCGTAACCTGCCCTGGGTAAGTCTCTCTCATACTGCTCTCTTTGCGGACACTCGTTCCTCCAATGCCCTTCTTCCTTACAGTACGCGCACTGATTCCTACTCAAAGGCTCCCTATTCCATCTACCATCGCCTCTATCTGGGCCCCGTCTATCTACGCCTGCGATCGCTACCGCTAGCATATCTGCCTTTCTACGCATCTTGCGCTCTTCCTCTTTCTTACTTTCTGTTTCCCTATTCATATATACTTTGTTCGCTACCTCCATTAGTTGGGTGATAGACATACCTGCAAACCCTTCTAATTTCTGTAGCTTGCGCTTAATATCTCCGTAAGCTTGGCTGACAAAGGCGGAGTTTACCATTCGGGAATTATCAGCGTCTTCCGGATTAAAGGGGGTATACAAGCGGTATGCCTCCAATAATCGGTCATAAAAGACACTGGGCGCTTCATCACTTTTCTGAATCACCTCAACTGTCTTCGACATGTTAATAGCTTTCTTCCCTCCGGCTTTCATGCCAGCAATTATAGCATCTCTATAGGCTTTAAGTTGAGCCATATCTGCGCCATTTACATTCCAGTCAGGATCGGTGTTAGGGTAATGTGTTGCGGCCCATGCTGCCGGATTGGCTTGATTTAAAGCACGGGCTCTCTCCTCTAGCGCCTTAATGGCCGCTTGGTTAATCCTTGTCCTTTCCTCATTATTGAACAATGTCATTAATAACTGCTGGCAATCAGCCCATGTCGGGTTATGTGTCTGAACTATCGAGGTGAACAGATCGGTCATAGCTTGTGGTTTCTCAGTGTACGAGGAATTGTGGGTCTTCCAATTCAAGAGATCGGTAGTCGTGAACGGGACATATACGAAGACTGGGTCAGCATGTGCCATTTGACCTGCGGCATCGATATAGGCTGACCCAGGATTCAGACGAAGAGGCATCTGATAATGTTTTAATTGTTGGGTACCGGTCAGTTGTCGGGTTAGTATGGGGCTACGTGGAGGGGCGTCAGTTAAAGGTTCCGGTCGAGAGGTAATAGGGCATGAGGATGTGGGAACTTGATTTTGGGAAAAGTTAGTGAATAGTATACTCCGAGCCGAGCTAGAAGAAGCTTGACCGGAAGTTTGAAGTGGCGCCAAATCAGGATATTCAGATCTAATGGGGGTTGGTCCTGGTTCCGGAAGGGGAGTTTTAATACGAGGGGGGGTGGATTCTGTACTGGAGGAGGAAGCGGAAGTGGATGGGGGCAATAGGGGAAGGGGTGCAGAGCTTCCTGCATTCGCGTCACTTCCTCTTAAAGGAAAGTAAGGAGGCGGCAAAGGGATCTCGGACTCAGGGGGCGTGTCCAAAATGGGCCTAACACCAGTCCTAGTGGACAAACAAGTCCTGGCCACCATGAGGCGACATTGCTCCTCGTGGCATATCCGGATCCATTTTGGCGAGTCGTTTACGGCCTGCCCCCAACAATCAATGTATGGAAACTGTCCGTAAAGTTCAGGCCTACCTGATACAGCCACGTGTACACGCTGTACCAGGGTTGGATCCAAACTGCCACGCGGCGGCCATGCCGCAACCAAAATAGGCCACTCCCTAGTGCACAAAGTGACCAAACGTACAGGAGACATTTTAACCCCAAAATCACATGTTTTGAATCCCTTTTTAAAATTCTTTACCATACAACCTAAGGGATCCGAAATCGTTGACTCTGACGCGCCCATACTTATCAATGGAACGTCGTTGACAACGAATACTATGCACGCGTTCTTATTCAACAGTCACACCCGTTTCCTCTGGCAACAGCACCACGTGGTACAGTTACCGAGTGAAACGTACACAATAACACAATAATCACTCAGGGAATTCCCGTACACACACAGCTGTTACACCAGTCACTAAATAATCAATATTATGCCCTTTGGCGAAACTATACAGTCACCCACGCTATAATTCTCTATATATGAATTACCCGTCTATAACACACCCCAGTAACATCGTCTTTTACTAGTATCGGTTACAGTACGGTTAGCATAGGTCAAAGCACAATTTAAGGTCACAATACAATTATTAGTGGTTACGGTGTTAAACATGCAATAGACGACAATGATTAGTACTTATATACAGTGTCAGTAAATATACAGGGTTATGGTACCGTGCACTATGATACAGCAACACACTATTAACACTCTCGCTAGACGGCTGAGCTCGCGCTATCTAACAAGATATACACTTTACTAACAATCTTTAACACATTTACAATCCCAACTAAACTATTGGCCAGTACCTTGAATGGACTACCTAAAACTATATACACCCGTTTTGGTTAGCCACACTGCCCAAACACCACATATAGCGAACTAGAGGGCGAAATTTACAAAATTGCCCTTCTAGTCTATTTACTCTATCAAAAGTCTAGTGGGTTCCAAATTTACACGCCTTCCCACTTAGCCAAGATAGGTTGAGAGCTAGCGAACCGAATTTACACAGGCGCCGCTTAGTCTCCCGGTCCCTCCGACCTAGCGAACGTAATATACACCCTAGAACGCTAGTCTAGACAAGACACCGGTGTCCGGCTAGGGCTATTTACACAGGACCCCGCCTGACTAACCAGATCAAAGCGGTCTTACTAAAGAGCGTTCGATCGAGCGGTGCGCCTTCGCTCCTTCCCTCCGACAGAGGGGGCAGATTCCATACACAGATTTAAACCCCTTTTGGGCCTACCGCACAATCGGTATACCCCTAGTGGGTCTGCCGTCTAAAACAGCAGTTGTCTTACCTCCTCGTTCCTGAACCTGAGTTCACACTCATCGACGGGGACACCCCAGCACTTCTTACGTAGAGGCCGATGATCTCCTGGACAACAGACCAGTGGCGCCGAGACGAAGGGAGGTCCACGCAGAAGTTCAGGGGTGCAGCCGTAGAGAACGTGGGCAAAGATAGACCGTCTCACGCCTCTGCCTCTCAGCTACCGTTGAACGATGAGCTTCCCGGCCAATGCACCAAATGATACCGGAGAAACTGACGGAAGCAAAGCACAGAGAGATGGACACAGGTTTCTTCAGGAAGGAAGAGATTCTTTATTGGATCACCGATCGGGACTCAGAGGGACTAATGTCACCAAAAATACAGCAAGTTCTGAGCCCTGAACAATAGTGCAGGCTCCCTATATAGGCACATAACTCCTCCCATATTAAGCTCCACCCGCACATTCTCTTGACCAATCATTACAAATAAGAATTAACTTCCTGCTTGACCGCATGGCTTGTCCAGCACAATGGAGGAGGGGAATACTACATCCTGTATTCTTGCACATGCTCCGTACACTACTGATCGTATCTTGCCTCGTGCAACCAACTGATCGATACGTCAGCATATGCACGTACACATGCCACGTGGTAATCTCGGCCTACTAAATTTATTTTTACCGAGATTCCACCACATTATGATTAGTACTAACGAGAGGAATGAGCAACATACAGCACTACGGAATTTGCTGGCGCTCAGGGCCGTTTAAAGGAATTTGGGGGCCCCAAGCAAAATGGACATGGAGGCTCTCTATAGAGCGCTCAGGCGGCTGCAGCCTTATAGAAAACACCGGCTCTGCTTGGGGCCCCAAGCAATTGTTTGGTTTGCCTGCCCGGTAGCGACGGGCCTGCTGGCGCTATATAAATAATAATAATAATAATGCCAGGCTGTGATATAACATGCCATTCAACAAAGGCAACAAAAAATATAATAAAAATACAGTGTGTGTGTGTTACATTTACTTAGCTAATATAATATAGCTCCCCACCCACAAGTCATTTCCTCCTAATGGTAAAATATCAGCTAATAGCAGATTTTTGGTGCCTTCAAATTATCCCACTTTTTTTCCCAGTCAGAGCTCTAAACACCCGAACCAGTTTGCCTCTGACACTCTACGGCGGCCGCCATTTTACTGGAGCCAAAACGTCCGCAAGATGGCAGCGCCCATACAAGCGAAGCGCCCTGGCGCGGCTTTTCTGACCGTTGTTCGCCCACACAGCACAGTTCCTCCCATCTCGCATCTCATCCGTCTGCGCCAGCACCCTTTAGCGTCAGCGTGCTTTGTGAGGTGTTTTAATAAAGTTTCCGTGTCCGGACAATAGCGCAGTGTCATGGCAGCCCCCGGAGAGACAGCCAAGCATGTGACGGTTTATTTAGTTTGAGGGAGAAACATGTCGGTGTCGGGAGAGCATGGCGGGGTGGAGCTGCAGGGGAAGAGCCTGGCCGAGCTCCTGGAGATCCTGCACAGGCAGGAGAAACTCATTAACAATACGTAAGATTAGCCACCGGTTACTGTATCCATGGTCTCCAACTGCCAGTCACCATCCCACCCCCCTCACCCTCCCCCTGCTCTGACAGGTCACCCAGACACAGGGCTATTCACTAAACATCGAAATGTGCCTCACTCACATACACACAGACATGCTTAGGCCACAAAGCCTAGATATTATTTATTATTATTATTATTATTATTAGGGATAGCAATTGTGGCTAAAGTTGTGCCTCTCAGTTTTAAAAATTGTACCATTTGGGGATTTTAGTGTAGAAGGGTAATTTTTTTTTTTTTTATTATTATTATTTTTGGCCAAAGTGAAAATTATAGATAACTAGACTTTTTATTTATTTATTTTTTTGATTTTTAGTCAGATTTGGGTAAAACTGTGAAGTGAAATGAGCTGGGCTGGAATAATTCTCTAGTTATAGAAACAGCCTGCCTATTTCAGCCTCAGGTTTGTCATTTGGATTTTATTTGTTAAAATGTGGTGCCGTAGTAAATAAATCTGTTAAAATGTTTTACAGTTTTTTTTTTTTTTTTTTACGTTAAATTTAAATTCAGAGACCGGGTTATTCACTAAAGTGAGAATGCAAACAACATTTTTATATTTTTAGACAAAACGGAAGCATAGCTGATTTTTATTTATTTATTTTTTTCCCTCCACATTTTGGCTATTTTGAAAATGTTAAATTCACTTTGATCTCTCACTTCAGGGAATAGCCGTATTCAAATTCCTAGCAGTTCACACTCAGGTGAATAAACCCTTTTTGTATTTAAAGGAGCAACAAATTTGTTTTCCTGGCACTATAGGGTCATTAGGTCCCTCCCACCCTCAGGGCCCCCTTCCCGCTGGGCTGAAGGGGTTTTAACCCCTTCAGCCACTTACCTTTCCCCAGCGCCGGGCTCCCTCTGTGCTAGGGAACTCTCCACTCCCTGCCGATGTCAGATTCGAATGAGCATGCATGGCAAGAGCCGCACGTGCATTCAAACTGCCCATAGGAAAGCTTTCCTATGGACGTCCAACCCCCTACTCACTGTGATTTTTCACAGTGAGAATCGCGGAAATGCCTCTAGCGGCTGTCAGTGAGACAGCCACTAGAGGCTGGGTTAACCCTCAGAGTAACACAGCAGTTTCTCTGAACCTGGTATGTTTCCAGCTGCAGGGTTAAAACTAGAGGGACCTGGCACCCAGACCACTTCATTAAGCTGAAGTGGTTTGGGTGCCTATAGTGGTCCTGTAAGTCAGTGAAATTATTTACATGTTTTGTTTTTTAAGTACAAATGCCCCCAGTCTTGACTTGGAAAACGTATCCAGAACCATGCTAGGTGTGTAGACTGCAAATGTAATGCTTTGTTCACAGTAGTTAAAGGAACACTGTAGTGTCAGGAGTACAAACATGTATTCCTGACACTATAGTTCAAAAAAGAACTTTGTCGCCGGCCCTCATCTCCCTCAACATTAAAGGTTTAAAACGTACCTTTTCTCTCAAATCTTGCCTCGGCTGGCCTGCGTAGTTCTGCCTCAGTGTTGATGATCTTAGCCAATCTCATGCTTTCCCATAGGAAAGCATTGGGAGGCTGTTGCACATGCACGGCAAAACGCTGCTTTGTGTCAATCAGCATCTTATATATAATCTCTAACGGGAGCATTCGAGTGCCTCCATGCAGAGCCTGGACTATCCGAGGGACTGCCACTAAAGATGTTCCTAAGCAGCAATGTAAACACTACCTGGTCTGTGAAAATGCAGTGTTTACAGTGCTAGTACTGCAGGGACATCTACATTAAGCGTTAGTGGTTCTGGTGTCTATAGTGTCCCTTTAAATAAATAAAAAATGTGATTGACATGTCCATCCTTTACTGTTACTACATAACTGACCAGTGCCAGGACCCCCTTCCCCATCCTTATTCATTTACAGTGAATAGCTGTCTGATCACTACTTAATTTTTTTTTTTTTTTTACTTGCTCTTCTAGGTAATGGTGGGGGATAAAAGGGGACCTGTCCATTCTAAAACCTCATTCCACTTATGGAACTGTTTTTAAACCAGACACTGGGTGTATCCAACCAGTTGTGCTCATTTGGACTGAATGACCATTTTCAACCTGATTTGGCTTTAGTAAATATGAGAATGGCAAATCCAGTTAGAATTAAGTTGTTATGGTACTTGGAGGTGACTGGCACCAGCTTACCCTTTAGTGATTAAACCACTGATGAATTGTTAAATCCCAAAGTGTTCACTCCAGCGCTGTTTAGTTATGCCCCGGTCCTTTTACTTCTCTGAGATTCTTTAAAAAGGAAGCCTTGGACTGCCTCGGACAGGTGCACCGCTTAATGGCTGAAGGCATCAGCTGACACTCTAAGCAATTCAGTAGCTCCCCATTTACAAAATTACTTAAGAAATGTAGATAATTTTTATCAAGCATTTTGATTGTTTGTCAAGGGGTTTTAAATCTGCTAGTGTTAAGTTTGCAAATCTGATTCTTCTGAGGTATAAGCAGAATTTATTAACAAATAGCAATAATAACAAATTATTGCCCCCAAAACATGAGTATTTAGTTTCCTTGCTTTTGAGGTAGTTAAATAAACTCCTGAATTCATAAATCTGATCCATTAGTTGTATATGTTTGCACTGAGCAACATACTTCAAGCAAGCGATTTAACTACCAGGAAGAAGACAGGACCAGGTGTTCACTCTTGCCTTAGAGAAACCACTTGGAGATTTGCTGTAGTGGATATGGTGCCAGGAGTGCCCTGGCGCCCTCCACAATGTATGTAAACTGCTTGATAACAGTTTTACTTCTAACCTGGTGTCTGCTAGGCGCCCTTTCATGCCGCCTCCTCCCACTGGAAGTGAGCTAGCAGCTTCTGTTAGCTCTCTTGAGCTCAGCCCTGCAGTGCAGGTCAGGATTATTTACTAAGAGTGTCAGCTGGTCGCTTTCGACTGTAGAGGAGGCAGCTAGTGGTGTCTGACAGACCTCAGGTAAGAAGTAAAACTGTTAGAAACCGTTTGACTACTTACATCGGTGGGGTGCAAGCCTACTCCTGGCACTATAACCATCATGGTGCTTACAGTGTTAAATAAAAAGCACATACATACAAAAATAAAATGTTCCATTTTCAGAGATCACTATAAGAGCAGTAAATTGCTACCATTCTCCTCTCTCACCCAATGTCCAGTGGTTGAAGGAGAAGGGAAAAAAATAGCAAACTGGATTCACAGAGTTCCAGGCTGCCAAAGTCATAAGGGTGTAACTAGCACAGAAGTGTTAAATACTCTGTATGTGCAGCTCATCAAAGAGAAATAATGCACATTCAGGCTTCTACCACCATGACCACTTCAAATCACTGAAGTGATCATGGTGTTTGGAGTACTCCTTTAATTATATTAACAATTTACAGGGAGCCAAGACGGAGTCTCCCGGCTCAAGGATTTCTAAATTTTTATTTTTTAGACCTATCAAAAACATATTTTCGAAATTTTTAGCATCACTTAACCGAATATAAAAAAAATCCTGCAACGTGATACTTGCCCTTTAATAATAGAGATCTGGGAGATGATGCATACTCATATCATATACATTGAGGAATTATGGTAGGGGTTCCAAGAACGCTCTTAAAAACCAGGAGAGAACCTGGCCACTTAATTAGGAACATGGCAGGATTGTACTATTTCACTTTGTTTCTTTTGTAATGAAAACAAACTTGCTTACCATGTTTGACTCTAATTACATTTGTCTGTCATTTTCTTAAGGAAATTTATTGCAAAACTACCGGACCGAGGAAAAAAGATTATGGAGTTTACTGAAAAGGTGAGGCTTGCTATTGCCGAACATATGGAATTAACAAATAGAAAGGAAGTGTTGTCCAAATTAAGAAGGGAGTTTCAAGAGAGACAACGTGATGGGGAAGAGGCCACAATAATTGCCTCAGACCATGATTCCAGTTTTCACATAAACAAGCAATTGGACAACATAGAGACTGAGGCTGCACCCACTAATTTACTATTGGCCGAAGAATATCCGAACGTGCCTGAAAACAGTGATACCCATCACTTGGATGGAAGTAGTGTTCTTATTGAAAAAAGTAGAAGTTCTGTTTTGGATCCTGATGCTTTGTTGAATGACTTAAAGAATATTACTCTTAAAGATATTGGTGAAGAAACTAGCAGGGATTATGGTCAAGGAAAAAATCCTTTTAACAGTTCCAGACAGAAAAAGTCTCATTTTATTGAAGTGATTGAAAAAAGAGCCTTGAACCCAGTGTACAAAAAGGAGAAATTTAAAACGAACAGGTATGTAAATTCTGGAAAATGCATTCCTACTACACTTTTTATAATTAGTACACAGAAACAAACTGTCTCCTTATCTGAAAGCGAGTCTATCAGAATGTTTCATTATTGTATTTCTAGTTCTAAATGTCATTTTTACAAGGAAGCTTTAATGGTTTAAATGAAAGTATCCTTCAAAAGAAAAAAATTGGAATGTCATTGTTAGTTTATGCATCAGTTATAAGTTGAAGGGGCACTTTAAACTCGATAACAACTACAGTGCACTCTATTGGCTATGGTGCCAGGAGTCCCCTGATTTGTCCCACTGATCAAACTGTGAAGTTTTTACATTTTACTTGGCTCCTTTCGGTGCCTATTGACCTTCCAAACTGCCTTGCTGTGCTTTACGAGACTTCATACTAATGCATTAGAATATTAAAGGACCACTATAGTGCCAGGAAAACATACTCGTGCCCCCACCCTCAGGGACCCCCTCCCGCCCGGCTCTGGAAGGGGGAAAGGGGTAAAAACTTACCTTTTTCCAGTGCTGGACGGGGAGCTCTCCTCCTCCGATCCGCCCCGTCGGCTGAATGCGCACGCGCGGCAAGAGCTGCACGCGCATTCAGACGGTTGCATAGGAAAGCATTCATAATGCTTTCCTATGGACGCTGGCGTGCTCTCACTGTGAAAATCACAGTGAGAAACACGCAAGCACCTCTAGCAGCTGTCAATGAGACAGCCACTAGAGGCTTTGGGGGAAGGCTTAACCCATTGATAAACATAGCAGTTTCTCTGAAACTGCTATGTTTATAAAACAATGGGTTAATCCTAGAGGGACCTGGCACCCAGACCACTTCATTAAGCTGAAGTGGTCTGGGTGCCTAGAGTGGTCCTTTTAACTTTGGACATTATGGATTTGGCTGTCGAGCCGTCAAGTTGAGCCTTAAACCATGAATAATGTATGAAGTTGGTATGCTAATGTGAAAGTATGAAATTCTTCTGTAACATAGCAGACGGACAGGAACCAGTGCACACTACAGAGAAGTAAAGGGTTTGACAACTAACACTGGAAAGGGTGCCAGAGGATCCCTGGCTCTCTAACCACTGCAGCATGCTGATAATCTAATGTTGTGGTTATGGTACTCTTTAGAGCATGGCTCGACAAATACCAGGTTGCCATGGCTCCTTGGATTTATGTTTTGGCGGGCAGGAGACCAGCTGGGGAATTGTGGAGGCGGGCGGCAACCTGGGGAGTCATGGAGTTCGGCGGCATGATGGAAGGTCGTGGAGGAGGGCGGCGAGGGAGCTGTGATGTTCCTGCTCTGCTCCCTCACTCACCGCGGTGAAACAGAGCAGGGACATCACATCACCTTTGCCACCCGCTTACTATTCGCACAGCCAGCCGCTCACCTCCACGAACTTCCAGCATGCTGCCGCCTCCATAATCCCCCAGCTTGCCGCCCACTGGGATCTACAGGTATTAACCAGTAATGTGTAAGTGTATGACTGTCAGTGTGAGTGTATGTTAGTATCATGGTGTGTGTGTGTGTGTGTGTGTGTGTGTGTGTGTCATGTCTGTCATGGTATGTGTGTATCATGATGTGTGTGTGCGTGTGTGTTTAGGTGACCAGACCCTTTCCATTCGCAAGGGAATGGTGTTCTTACTTTTTTTTTACGCCATGCTTGTCTCTCTCTCTTTTTTATTTATTTATTTATTTATTTAACCCCTTAAGGACACATGACATGTGTGACATGTCAGGATTCCCTTTTATTCCAGAAGTTTGGTCTTTAAGGGGTTAAAAAGGCGGTGTTTACATTGAAAAGCCTGTCGAGACTGGCTATAGACACCAGAACCACTACATTAAGCTGTAGTGGTCCTGTATTTTTGTTGTTGAATATAAAGCTTTGTAAGTTTAAAAAAACAAAACAAAAAAAAAAACCCTGGCTCCTATTTTTTTTTTTTTTAGCTGGCTCCTAGATTTGTCAAGCCTGCTTTAGAGCAGGGGCGCCCAAAAGGTAGATTTCTAGATGTTTTAAAACGACAGCTTCCATGACGCTTTGTCATTCTAAAGGCATGCAAAGCATCATGGGAGTTGTAGTTCCACCCCATCTGGGGATCTACCTATAGGGCAACCCTGCTTTGTACTGTTTCCCTGAAAATAAGCACTATCTTATTTTCAGGGGATGCTCCTAATATAAGCCCTACCCTGAAAATAAGTCCTAGTCATTTGCTAATCTATGTTCAGTGAAGTTTCCCCAAACATAGATTTGATGTATTCTATTAGCAAATAAGCTAATCTATGTTTGGGAAAGTTTCCATGAACATAGGTTTGCAGGATTCCATGCCCTAGTGAATTGTTCCCCCGAACAAAGACCTGCTTTCTAGCACACGTTTTCCCCGAAATAAGACCTTCCCCGAAAATAAGCCCTAGTGCATTTTTCAGGGGACAGATTAATATAAGATCTGGTTATTTTAAGGGAAAGACGGTAGTATCCAGGGACAGTGTACGCACTAAGACTACTAGAGGTTACTGGACGGATTCTTAGTGCTATCTTTTTTAAAGAATATTTTCAAGGGGTATGACAAAAACTTCTCTGTCCTGGCACCTAAAAAGGAATTTATGCCACCAAGATAATGATAAATCTCACTTCCACATTATCCATCTACACTTGGACTGCAATAATAGACAGTGAACAGTGTGAGCATCTTAGTGCAATGCTCCAGCCTAACAGTGGGTTCAGTTTTGTACGGATACTCAGGAAGTTTAATGCTTTGGGTGCCTGGAGAGACCTGTATTGGCACAATTCTTGAAAATGTGGCTGTGCACAGACTTCTTGCAGCACTATCACGACAGTTGTGGTTATTATGTTGCTTGCCGGATTCTTCCCTAAAGTAAGAATTCAAAGTGAATTTCAAATTGAAGGCCGAAGTAGCAAAATTGGAACACCGATGAATGAGAGAATTTGTCTGGTTTGGCTATTTTGACCTTAATTTTAAAATTCACTTTGAATTCTCATTTTAGTGAATAGCCCTATTAGTGTCTATTTAAAGGGGGACTTTCAATTTCGAAAAACATGTTTACAACCATGTTGCTAAAAAAATAATTTGCTATAGATTTTATTAACGTTTTTAATTTTTCTAAATCCTATTATATTTCTTTCTATTGATATGCTGTGCCAGACACACTGGGTAATGTATGTTAATGAATTAACCCCTGCAGTGCCGTACTCACTGTCACTGCTGGACAAAACTCTGAGCACTCATAATTACAATATTGATCGTAAATGCTGGAGCATGCCCGTGGGGCATTGTGGAATTACTTTATTGCCCACAATGTAGAAGTAAATTGGAGGTGAGTAAGCTCACTTATCTCTACTGCTATATTCACTGCAGTAAACGCTACTATAGTACTTACAGAGGTGAGGGAATGAGAAACCGTTTCTCCAGAAATTAAAGTTCAACTTTAAGCATAACGATATGTGTGCAATGTGTTTCCTGCTTCACATAGGTTTCAGTCACAGTAACAATGCTTGAACAGTTAGCCATGCAAACTAATATAGTAGTAATAATGCCAAATACTGAATTATCTGAAAACCATTGTTTCTTTTCCATAAACGTTACAGTAAAAGCACTTTTATATTAATCTTTGAGTACTGTCTAGATGCATCTTATATACCAAGTATGTATTTCAGGTTGCCACCTGGCTCTGATTGCTCATCACCTTGCGAGTCACCAGTTGAAAATCAGACTAAAATCTCTGCGGAAGAAAGAAGAGCGATAGAAAAGAAACATCTAGATGACATCACAGCTGCCAGGCTCCCTCCACTCTATCATGCGCCAAGCCAGTTACTTTCTCTAGAGGAATCGATAGCCCTTCAGCTCTCACATAAACAAAGTCACGAGGTAATGTATTTTAATTAGAATAATCTGGACCACCGTAAGCAGCACCAGCCAGCCCCAAGATATCGCGCAACCTGTTCACAAACTAAAACTGGTAGACTCTCAATAAAAACATATAAACAATATAAAGATAAGTGTATGAACTTTACTTTATAGCAGAGCGTGTGGTATTGCTCCTATATTATTTTTACTTTCAGTGTTTCATTTTCTTATATAATTAGCAGCAGGATAGTTAAACGTGATGCCTTAGGTTTTTTTGGTTTGATTAAAGCATTGTGTAAAATGCATTTTTAAACTTTCTTTTTTTAGGTTATTGATTAAACTCTATTCTATTCTCAACCATTCTCAAAGGTCTTGAATAATTTGCAATTAAATAATGGAATAACTTTTAGAGCATAGAAATCTTTTTACAGAGTGGCTAAATACATAAAATATCCTGTGTATATGAAATCTACACCTTTTGTGAATACGGTTTCAAAATCACTGTAAAAAGTAAAATAATTGGTCTGAATATGACTATAAGGAAGCATTTTGTATATACTGAATGGAGGGACCACACTGGTACATGATAACTCTTTAGTACATCGTTCTACTCTCATTTAATACTAATCTACCTCCCTTCCCAGGACATCATGGGGACTTGCCTTATAGAATAGGCCACTATATCCCCAATCTCCTGGCACATAAATATTGATTTCACTCCACTCCAGATAGAAAGAAGATGCTTCTACATCGCCAGTAGTAAATGTTCCTAAAACTGAACTTGCTTTCTCTGATGGTTATTCTCAGCCCTCCCTTAAATGATTTGTTCTCCATATGCATTATATATATTTATAATCATGACATTCCTTTTAATAGTAATCTGTAAAATAAAACTCATGTATTAAAATGATCTTATCGAAAGGCTTAAAATAACACATATTAGTACTGCTGTACCTATTTTGAACACTGTAACACTCTTTTGATCCTAGAGTTAGTTTGAGAGAAATCCAGATTATTGCATTGTGCTTAGCGGACACAAGTTTAAAACTGTGACATGGAACATTGTGCATCATTTAACTTTAAAGAGTCCAGCATTGCTCCTTTAACACAACTGCTTTTATAACCAACATTATCCAAAATAAATGTTAAACCTGTGGAGTAAAAACAAGCAAAAAAAAACAACAACAAAAAAAACAAGCAATTTAACAAAAATTAACCTAAATACTGAGATGTTTTTCCATAATTAGAGTATACCTGCAGAACAGGTGCAGCCAAAACGCAGTTGCACTAATGCTTTGACAGCTTAGGGACAGGCTACCTTTGATGTGAAATAGTAGCATGCACTTTATATTACTCACTAAAGTTTGAATTGTCAAGAATTCAGAATACATTTAACATTTTACACCTAAATAGCCAGACTGGCGATATAGCTGACTAAGAGAATGTTTACAGTTTGGCTATTATGACCAAAAAAATTGATATTTACTTTGAATTCTCTCAAATTCCTGAATATTCACTTAACTAATTAGTGTTATTTTAATAAACATCCACTAGATGGAGCCCAGACATTCCCCCCAACCCCCCCCCAGAAATAAGCTGTTGCACATTTTGCCACTAGGGGGAGATAAACGTTAGGCTTTTCTCACACCATTTACATTAATTGCATGTAGCAAAGTACTGTTTTTTTTTAATACTTGCACGATGCCATTATGCTGCAGCTATAAAAATGTAACACATTTCTGTGGGGCCATATTAAAAGGAAATAAATGTGTTTCAGTGATTACAAAATATTGCATTTATGGGAGGTAATTTCTAGACCTAAAGACTAGCAAGGATTAGAGTTTCAGCTGTTGCGTAGATGCTATTAATTTCACAGCATTTGCTTGGCCAGTATTAAGGAGACACTCTAGCACGGTAACTGATTATTGTGCTTACAGTTTCCCTTTAAACAATGGGCATGAGGAGCACACATACTATTATCTTAATGATATGAACTTTTTAACACTGTAGATGTTACTTTTTTTTCTTTGTCTTTAGGAAAATCAAGCCAAACTAGCTGCTCAAAGACTAATCGAGAAACTGGACATTAAAATGGAAAAGTTCAACCCTGAAGGAGATTCATACATGAAATACAGGGATATAAGAGACAAAGAAGACTCTGAAAATTAAGATTTTCCACAACAGAAGCTCTAAATTACATAACCTATTTGCAGGAAATAAATAAATATCTGTCAAACATGAATTATTTTTGAGTATACTAATGACTCCAATGGGCACTCCACTGTGTTGGTTTTTTTTGTCTGCTTGCAAGTTCTGTATTACCCGCCTGCAATGTGGTAATTTCATTTTGGTTTTATTTATAAAGCTAAATATAAAATTAAACATACAACCTAGGTGTTATTTCAGCTTGCAGTGCATATTGCTAATTGTATCATGACAGATGGGGTATGCTCTACGGCAGCAAAGGCTAAGCTTTCTTATGACGTTTAGATGAAATGTTGTTTGGCTTCATAGGAAACATCTACAGTAGTTTGACAAATATCAACAAAACCTAATCTATTGCATTTTCTTTGGTCTGTTTTATATTCAGGGTTTTTCTTTTTCTATGCAACCATAATTAAGCTGGTTTTAAAATCTGAATATGTGAATAAATATTTATATTTTTCTACATATACATCAGAGTTGTGTTTTCTTTATAAATTTAGTTGGAATACATATATTCTTTACCCAGTACCATTCAAAGCTGTGCATATTGAGACCAAGCTTTTCTTAAATATATATATACGTTTGTCAAAATGCTTTTTATTTCTTCAATATATGAATGTGTATGTGTTGTAATTTAAAGGGTTACTACAAGCATCCATGATCACTTCAGTTATTTGAAGTGGTCTTGGTGCCTGCAGTCTGTATGTGCAGTGTTTCGCTATGAAATGCTGCACAAACTGAGTTTAACCCTTTTGCTGCTGGAGGTGTAACTCCACCTTCGACAGCGTCATTGGGGCATCATTAATCAGACTGGAACAATAATTCTGGGTTGGCTAGTGTCAATTCTGTGCATATTTCTATGCAGATTGGCTGACAGTAGTCATGCGACGCTCTTAGCCAATAAATAAGCGGAGGGATCGGCATTCAGCTTCAATAGCACTGCAGATGCAGTATGTTGTAGGCCAACAGCACAGGAGACAAGGTGGGGACCCGGGTAAGAGGGCAGACCATTGCAAGATTGTTTACCCAATTCCTGAGAAAAGGGTCCAGAGTACATAACCACTATAGGCGGCTGTAAAGGTTATGTTGTTTGGAGTTGCAGATTGAAAATGAAAAAATAGAAAATGGTCTGTCATGCCCAGTGAGCATGAATCACTGTTTTGTTGTAGAAGGACCACATGACAGTCATTGCTGTCATGCAGAGCAAGGCATTAATGCTCAGTTACAGCATAGGGTGAATATGGCAGAGTGATGGGAGGTGCGTATAGGATGGGTGATTGACAGGATTGGGAGAGTTATTGTGGGTGTGGCAGGGTGAAGGGGGATGACCGTGTGTGTCCGGGTCACAGTTATACAGACGCACATGCATATAAACAGACAAACACTGACATACATGCAGATACACACCATATAACACCTACAGATACATACACGGACACAGATGCAGATACACAGACACTTAATGACAAACATTCAGATGGAAACAATATGACACTCATACAGATACATAGGCAGATACTGACATACAGTTACACATAGAGACACATACATACACACACATACAGATACACAAACACACACATGCAAAATGTTTTAGTCACCCTCCTGTTTCCTACCTTTTTTTCCTGGGGTCCATTGGTGACTCAGGCTGATGGGAGTCAGAGTGGGTCACGTGGCTCGGTTGTTGCTGGGAGGCAGTGACCTGATCACAGGGTACAACCGCCAGGAGCGCATTAATGAGACCCATTGGGGGCAGGTTTATTCACTAATATAGTAAATATCAAAAAGCATAAAGAAATCACATTCCATCAGGTATAAAGGCCATATAATGCAAATTAACCATGTGCTTGCCTGTAGGTCAAATCTAATTTGGGGGAGGTGCCAGGTTATCTGCCAATACTTTTATTGGACAATAGATACAAATAATGTACTGTACACAAAGTGAATAACTAGGGTTTTCTCTTAATTTTTAATTTTACCTGCTTGTCGGTGTAAATCATTTTATTTTTTTTTGTCAATTTTTATTTTGCAGTACTGAGATGTATACAGTCACCTGTCTTGTCCCAACAACAAGAACAGTTGTATGCGAGGACGCAATTATACAAATAGCTTGATAACAGAATATGATATTCAGAGATTAGTTATACACAATAGCGATGGAACAGTACATTTTTTATAGAAGAAGGAGTAATGAAGTATGCTAGTGAATGCCACATAACTCTACACTAGCTAGTAAAGAGTACCAGTAATAGAAAGACAAGAAATTTCAAGATGGGCAAGCAGGCGTATCATCGCATTGCACATTTTATATTATATAGTATAATGTTATTGATGCGTAGCAAACGTTCTGCCATTTTGAAGGTATTATGAGGTCGCAGGCTTAACTGAGGCATATCTTGTCTGCGCGCTTCATAAAATATCAAGGTTTGACATTTCTAAGGATTAACTGCTTATACATTACAGGGGGCCTCCATCCTATGGTGGCCTCAGCTTTTCAAAGAGCTGGGGCTTGAGACTGCATATATATCAGCAGATGTTACATTATGGAAGGGAAGAGAGCAGAAATTGAAACAATAAACCGTAGATTAAATAATCATCAAACAGCATGTCTAGGTCGGGCTTTGGCCACTTTACTACTTAGACCAGTGACTTGAGAACACCCTCCTTGTCTGCATTCCCTTCCAGTGCACCTCCCCTCTCTCCCCTTCAAGGCCCTGTCCGATTTCCATACGTCAACAGTCTCTGGAAGTCAGCTTGGTAACGACCGTCAGCCAGTGTGTCCAAATGTCCCTATAAGTCTGAGAGCGGTCTTGTGTCGCAAACGTCAGTTCCTCAAGTCTTCGGAGGTCCTCCATCTTATTTAACCACACTGTCAAGGGAGGTGGCATATCTTTTTTCCAGAACAGAGGCAACACTTGTTTGGCGGTGTTCAGTATTCTAACCGTGAGGGATATCTTGTACGTCGTTGTTGGTGTGGTGGTGTGATGTAAGAGGTAGGGGGCCATTCGGAAAGGGGGTGGGTTGTCAGAGAATTTGTTTAAAGGACCACTCTAGGCACCCAGACCACTTCAGCTTAATGAAGTGGTCTGGGTGCCAGGTCCAGCTACGGTTAACCCATTCTTTCATAAACATAGCAGCCTTCCCCTATTTCCACTAGAGGCGCTTGCGTGAAAATCACAGTGAGAGCATGCCAGCGTCCATAGGAAAGCATTATGAATGCTTTCCTATGTGACCGGCTGAATGCGCGCGCAGTTCTTGCCGCGCGTGCGCATTCAGCCGACAGGGAGGAGAAGAGCTCTCCGCCCAGCGCTGGAAAAAGGTAAGTTTTAACCCCCTTCCAGAGACGGGCGGGAGGGGGACCCTGAGGGTGGGGGCACCCTCAGGGCACTATGGTGCCAGGAAAACGAGTATGTTTTCCTGGCACTATAGTGGTCCTTTAAGATTTCACATATTGCCTGCCAAAAAGATGTTACCATAGGGCATTCCCACCAAATGTGCTGGAACATTCCAGTGCTGGCCCCACAGCGCCAACAATCATCTCACAGAACCAGATTCAAATACCTTAGAGCTTGTGGAGTCCTATACCATAAAGACAAAACCTTATAGGCCATCTCCTGTGTCTTATTGGCTAATGCGCAGTGGTGTACTAAGTCACATATCTTGCCCCACTGCTGTTCTGTCAAAGTTTTGTTTCTTAAAATCTTTCAGGGCAAGTGTACGTTTCTCTGGGGTATTAAGGCCTTTTGCATTGATGGACATGAGTTTCAAGTCCACCGGGCACCATTATGTGAGATTCCCGCAGGGATAATGCAGACCTGTTCCCCTAAAGGGTCTCGAGACACTAGTCACCTCCTAAATGCAGACTAGCGTGCACCGTGTAAAAGCAGCAATTAAGTGATAACCTAATTGTAACAAGGCGAAGTGAAATATGAAAACAGGCAAAATAAGTAAACAGCTGTTCAGGTGGGACAGTGGATTAGAGGGAAATGCGGATCTGAAGCGTGGATGTAGTGGGTATGCTGGCAAGGGTGACTGAGCGGGTCAGGGCCTTGGCCCAGACCAGCTGGTTGGGAGGAAACACGCTTACTCAAAATCTGTCACTAAAGCCCAAAAACAGGGGGGATGAGGTCAACAGCAGACCAGAAATTGATGAGAAATCAATTTGGATTTGTAATTCTGTGATCTGTGAGTAAAGAAAAGGGTTGCCCATACAAATAAGGCTGTAGCTTTTTAAGGGTGCACACCACGGCCAGGCATTCTTTTTCGATGGCGGCATAGCTTACTTCTGTGGGTAGGAGTTTTCTGCTTAAGTAAGCCACTAGATGATCACTGCCATCTGCTCCGACTTGGCTCAGCACTGCTCCCAATCCAAACATAGAAGCGTCTGTGTGGACAAGAAATCATTTAGTTGGATCAGGAGCAGCAAGTACAGGTGCATTAATCAGAGCCGCTTTCAATTGCTGGAATGCCTGTTCACACTCTGGGGCCCAGACTACTAGCGTAGGGAGGTTCTTACAGGTTAAATTGGTGAGGGGCTTGGCTAGGCTGCTATAATCGGGTACACATTAACGATAGTACCCGGCGGTACCCAGAAAGACTAGGACTTGGGTCTTAGTACAGGGGGTTGGCCATCTGGCTACGGCCTCTATCTTTGCAGGTTCAGGGTTTTGTTGGCCGCTTCCTACTCGGTGGCCCATGTATTGGACCTCAGCCATCGCTATATGGCATTTGCTGGGTTTAAGGGTTAACCCTGCCTCTCTGATGCGGTCAAGTACGGCTCCTATGTGGGTCAAGTGTTCGGTCCAGGAGTGGCTGAAAATAGCTATGTCGTCTAAGTAGGCGCAAGCATACTCCTGGAACCCATCCAATAGCTGATCCACCATTCTCTGAAAGGTAGCCGGGGCGTTTTTCATCCCGAATGGCATGATCTTAAATTGGTACAGGCCAAACGGGGTGACAAACGCCGAATTGGGAATGGCTTCCTCGGTTAAGAGAATCTGCCAGTACCCCTTACAAAGATCTACTGTAGTGAGGTACTGGACCCTGGCCATTTTATCTAGGAGCTCATCTATCCGGGCCATAGGGTAAGCGTCAGATACGGTTTTGTCGTTGAGCCTCTGTAGTCTACGCAGAAACGGGTTGTCCCATCCCGCTTCGGCACTAGTACTACCGGGGAGGCCCAGGGGCTGTCTGAGTGTTCTATAACACCTTACTGCAACAAATCCTCAATCTCTTTGCGCATATTCTCCTTTACAGATTCCGGTATGCGGTAAGGGGGTTGGCGTAGAGGTGTCTGCCCAGGGGTTTCTACCCTGTGAGTAGCTAAGGGGGTGTACCCGGGAAGATTAGTGAATGTGGCCCCTTAATCCCTTATTAAATCTTGAGCTTGCGCCCGTTCCTGGGGACTCAGGTGTTCTCCTAACTGTACCTCTCCCAGGCCCTCGATCTG